TCTAATGCTCTGCATGTACTGCTGGATAAAACAGATGTATTCTAAATTGAAACCACAGGCTGAAATCATGACCCAATACATAGCTTTAAAACAGATACAGAAGATTTATATGGTGACCACTCAAGAATTGTTCTTGAGAGGTCAAAAGGGGGACAATGTAGATAAATCTCTGCATTAAGCATCTTCACATAACTTTCATATGACTTTGTATTATGTCTCTATTTTCATACAACTTTGTATCATATCCTTATATAGAAAACTTTGTATTGAGCCTTGGTATAATGTTAAAAAAATTTATTTTTGCTAGGAGTAGAATAAGATCTCCCCCACCCCCCCCTTTTAATCAATTGCCCTATTGAATGAATAAGGTGTGAATGAGCAAGGCATGGAAGGCAAGCACCTCCAGACAGCTGCAGTTGGAAGCCAGACCCAAGAACAATAAAACTTGTCAAGTGGGCTCACTAAAGAAGAGCAGACATATTGATTGCCTTGGGGGTTAGAAGCAAGCACCTTCTTTTGAAAACACTCTCTTTGAACAGCATTGGGACAACACCCAGAAAGAAGCTGCACAAAGGACCAACGGACACAGACACAGATTTTGAATCTGGTATAGATTCTGGTTCCAGAAGAGGCACTTCATGCAATGGAGATGAGGCAGAACCAAGGGTTCGATTTTATCAGAGATCTGTAGAGTTTAAGACAAGAAAGGACAATTAAATCATCTAGTCTGATCTCCTGTATATCTCACAGTCCATTAAATTTCACCCAGTTACTCCTGTATTGGAGTCCAAAAATTTGTGTTTTAGCTAAAGTATATCTTCCAGAGAGGCATGCAGTCTCTACATGACTACGGCAAGAGATCCTTGATAGTCTGATCCAATGGTCAATTACCATAATTGCTACAAAACCATGCCTTATTTTCAGTTAGGCTGTGTCTGACTATAGCTTCCAGACATTGGTTCTTGTTGTCTCTCTCTGCTAGATTAAAGAGTCCTTTCATGGGGAGAAAATATGCAGCACCAAGGTACTTACACACTAATCAAGTAACTAAGGAATTTTTTTCAGCCCTCAAATCTTTTGTGGCTTTTTTCTGCTACAAATTTGTCAACATGCTTTTTAAAACATGGATACCAGAACTGTCTCACCAATGTCATAAATAAAGACTAAATCTTCTCCCTACTCCTGTTCGCTACACCCGTTATACATCCAAATGTAGCATTAATTTTTTTTGCCATAGAATCAGAGTGGGAACTTGCATTCAGTTGCTTGTTCACTTATGATCCCTAAATCCTTTTCATAGTTCTTGCTTTCCATACCCCATTTTGTAGGTATGGCCTGCATTTCTTGTTCCTAAATGTAAAACTTTACATTCAGCTGGATTAAAATGCATTTTGTCTGAACGGGTCCAGCTCATCAAGCGATCCATATCGCTCTGCGTGACTGCCCGTCATCATTATTTACCATTCTGCCAATGTTACATAATCTGCAAATTTTATCTTCGCTAACTTTATAGTTACTTCACATCACAGATGTAGATGATGAATAGCTTCAGATCCCTGTGGATGCCCACTAGAAACACCCTCATTCAATATTTCCCCTTTCACAACTACTTTGAGATGTCAGTTAGCCAGTTCTTTATCTATTTAACTTGTGCTCTATTGATATTGTGTTAACATTTTAATCAGAATATCGTGTGATACTAAGTCAAATGCATTACAAAAGTGTAAGTATATTACGTCCATGCAGCTACCTTTCTCATCAAAACATGAAATCAAGTTTGACAACACCTATTTTCCGTAAAACTATGTTGACTGGCATTAACTATATTCCTATAATTGAATACTTTATCAGCTTTTCCATCATTTTGCCCAGGATTTATGTCAAGCTAACTAGCCTATAGTTACCTGGGTCATCCCACTTGCCCTTTTTGAATACTGGCACAACATTTACCATTCTTCTAGTATTCTAAAATTTCCCCCATATTCCAAAATTTATTAAAAATTATCAGACCAAAGACCGCAGCCAACTCTTAGGATTCTTTGGTGTAAGTTATCTGGCCCTGCTGATTTAAAAATGTTTATCCCTATTAGATGTTAACTAACATTCTCAATTACGAATGGACTGGAAAGTACTTCATCAAATGATAGGAGTACCTCATCCTGCTTCTTTCCACATACAAGACATATTTACTGAACACTTCTGCCTTTTCTGCATCATCATTGGAGCTCCGTGACTTCTGCCGCAGCCAGTGTGGCTGATCCCAGGACAGCCCAAGCAGCCGGCCCTAGGGATAGCCACACCAGCCAGCTGCTCGGGCGGCCCCGCAGCCAGGTGCACTGGGCATCTGGCTCTGGGGACCATCTGAGCAGCGGCCGATGCGGTTGGCCCTGGGGTCGGCAGGAGAAGCCGCAGCTCGGAGGGGCCCGGCAGCAGTCCCGGGGCAGCTAGAGCAACCGCGGGCTTCCCCCCGCACCAAGATTCAATCAGGGGTACAATAACTCCTAGCTTAACATTGTAGTTATGTTCCTGAAAAATGCTACTTTAAGCAAAACGATGTTAAGCGAATCCTATTTCCCCAAAAGAATTAATGTAAATAGGGTTTTTTCCCCTCAGTTTCACTGCTGCAAGGAAGATGACTAGTGTCTTGGCAATTCCACTCTACTGATGCAGCAGCAACCACACTGAAATTGTGTATCTGTGGTCTCATGAATCCAACACCTTAACAGTTTACATTCAGTTCCGAGATCAAAGGTCATGAAAGGCACACTTTAAATAACTCTGTACTGAAGGATTAAGATTTTTTAAATGCATTCAACATTGAAAGAATCAAGTTGACAGTCCCTTGGAAAATGAATAAAATCATTTTCTCACACAATTAACCTGTGGAATTCATTAACACAGGACTATCATTCAAGCCAAGAATCTGGTATGATTAAAATAAACTTAAGACAATTAAATGGATAACTTCCACTGCTGCAGCTGATAAAATAAGTATAGAAGACACAAACTCCTCAAGCACAAGGAGAAGATTCTTAATCTTCCTTTAAAGCATCTCATGGTGACTACCATCACAGACAGGCTACTGGTTTAACTGAGCAATTGGACTAGTCCAGAATTGCAATTCCCACTACCCTTGTGTTGATGTAACATCCTTGTTTTATTTTGTTTTTGAAGAGTGGGGTGGGGGGAGAATCCTGCCCTTTGTGTGTATAAAATTCAATGCCAAAGGAGTTATGTGCACTTAGGGAATGCAAAACTGAATCCTAATTAGCCTGCAAGCCTTTTACATTATTAAAGTCTATTAAGCTCTGTAAGAGCCTTATTTGTACAGTACAGTATTTGATAACTTAGAATACTACATATTTCTTGCCTTTCCACCAGTCTTAAAGAACAAGACACCCAGTCATCTTTACATCTAAAGCAAACTGAACATTCTGATGTGAGAGAAAGAAGTTACACTTTGAAAAAAGCATTATTTATCTGTAGCTAATGGTATCTTTTGTGAGATTTTACAGAGAACACACAGAGGTGATGCGTGTTTTTGTTGCCTATCTTAAGAGAGAACTTTTTTTAAATTAACATCCTGCTGAGAAAAATGTAATCAGTTGCTCATCATCCAAACTGAAAGCATTATCTTTCAAACCTACCCAATTTTGCTATGCGCCTATATGAAATATCTCTACCCCAAATTCAGCAATTTAAGACCAAGAACACACAATTGTACTAAATATTCAATAAGGAGCCATCTCTACACTAACGTGACCTGTAATAATTGATGTGCTTGTGAAAATAGCTGAAGTTGACAGCTTTCAGAGCTCAATCCTAAAAGCAGGTGTAAATGTTATAAAATAATTCACAGATCTGTAACATCTATAAATGCTTAAAAAAAACAAGTTTAATTACTGTGCCACCATCACAAACGTACTATTATACTGTACTAACTGTTCCGATATTTGCCTGTTGAGCTGTAATCTTCAGAGAACTATTAAATCAACAGAATTAATTTGAGAGGTACTTCAAAATGACTGGTAAATCAAGTAGTCGTAAGTACACAGCAATCAATTTTGTATATGGAACTACCCCTGCAAACAAAAACAAAAAACCATTATGCTCACTTAACAGACCTGAGTCCAGCACTATGGAGCAACACTGCCACCAGTTGACTGAAGTGCAAAGCAACTGCAGTTAAATAGTCGTCCAAGTGGACAATATGACCACGTTGCCCATGTTTCTACTGGGTATCCAAAAGCAAAAGAATTGCCCACATTCACTCCATGCACCCAGAATTAGCACTTTCTTGTACACTTCAGCTAAAAATGCATAAAGAAAAATTTGAAACATGAGTCACCACAGACCTCCAGAAAGATACAACATAACTACTCATACTGGGAAAACTATACAAAAGATAGTATGGATAAACTCAAATTTACACTTGGACCCTGAAACAGCAATCACTAGTTAACCCCTATGAAACAGAAAAGATGATACAATACACATTTAGTGAAAGATCACTTGTATTGCCTACTGAAAATAAAGGCAAATATGTACCTGAGTGACTATAGGGTGTATGGAATGGGAGGGGTCAAAAATCAGGATGACATACAATGTGAGAAAACAGGGATGTTTGCTTTTGACTGCCCATAATCAAGAGCCATACAAAAAAATAATAATAATAATATGCACCAAAACATCTCTCCATAAAATTACTTTTCGTAATGCAATATTTTAAATGACAAATGCTAGTCCAATTTTATCTAACATGAAAGGAGAAAATATGAACTCCTCTTACAGGCCAGAAATATGCTGTAAAATAATCTTTCCAACCAACAAAATCCACTTTTCTGAAAAACCTCTCTTTGTGGAAGGAAGAAACAAGATATGATAGGCAAGAGAAATTGGGGTCCTGTTCTGCTCATTTATGATTTAAGGATAATTAAGAGCACCATACCTTTTTAACATGAAAAAGCCTGTTACTCTCAACCTCTGCACAACATTCTTACCTTAAAATTACTAGAGTTAACCCATCCTATTAATTCGTCAATCACTTTATCAAGGCGCTGCTGATCCTGCTCGAGGTCAGTGGATCTACTGGGGTCGGCCAGATACTCCAGCAATTCTTGGCCGATTTGCATCCTGCGGCTCACATCTTTCTGCTGTACCTGATCACAGAAATAGTCCATATTGCCAGGCTCCATCGTGAATTTGAACGAAAAAGTGTATTAGGCGAAGAATCAAACTGCTTCAATACCAAAAACAAATCACACACATACAAAGCGAGGGGTAGGGTGGGGAGAAGTGCCCAGCTGGAGAAGTAGCCACCAACGTTTCACCTCCAAGTCTTGCCCAGCAGAAAGGAGGTTTTTTTCCCCTCTGTTCTTCTCCCCAAACAAACTCCGCAAGGTGAAATACAAGGCCTTTAACCAAGAAACACACGAACAAAAATCCTTTCAAAAGCATTAAAAAATTAAATCTCCAGTGATTCCCTTGTGAGGCTGCTGGTGACGCAGTCGGGGAGGGGGTATTTGCAGGATCCTCTGATTTCGGGGAGCTGTTTTTTATTCCAGTTTTCAGTGTTTTTCACGATTTCCCTCAAGTTTCGTTTCTCGCGAAGTTCCAACCGGGGGCGTCAGCGCCACGGGCACTTTCTGAGGGGATCCCCAGAGGCCGGCGGTGGAGCTGCTGGCGTCTCTCCCCAGCCCGCAGGCCCGGCACGGACCCACCGCCGCCGCTTCTCAGCACAGTGGGCAGTGGCTCCTTGTCGCCAAACGCAGCCGGAAGCAGCGGCGGGGCCGGAGCGGAACTTTCATGCTCCCTGGCCCGGGGGATGGATGCGGCTCCGCGTCCCCGCCCCGCGGCAGGTCTAAACTTCAGCCGCTCCGGACTCACTCCGCAGCGGCCCCGGCGCCCGGTCTGCCCTGAGGGGATGGGGGCAGCAGCCGCGGGACCCGGCGGGCTCGCTCAGTCGCGTCTCCTGGCTGCGGCGGCTCCTCAGTCCCGTGGAAGTTGCGTCCCCAGCCCCGGCCCGGCTCAGCCGGCGCCCGCCTCTGGGTGTCACTCACTCTCCGGGCCCCGCCCCGCTCCTCCCCGAGCCGCCACCACCGCCGTCTCCTCCGCGCGGCCGGGCGGCTCTCAGGGCGCGCGACACTCCCGCGCGCTCCCCTGCGACTGCGGCGGCTCCCAGCACCGCACCCGGCTCGCTCCCCGCGCCGCCGGCCGCCCGCGTGTCCTCCGTCGGCACAAGTCCAACTCACACACACCTCCGTGCGCGTGCGCGCGATACAATTCCCCTTCCTGACCTCCACCTCTTTTCCCGCCTCACGCTGCAGCGTGCGCGCGCTCCGTCCTCTCCCCTACTCTCACTGCAGGGCGCGCGCTTGGTCTTGCGGCTCCACCTTTACAGGCGTCAGCAGGCGCAGGCGCTTGTCGGCTGCTGCGCTTGCGACTGTTCGGCCACCACCTCCCCAGTATAGCGGGTAGGGTCCTTCTCTATCTTTAGCTGCCTCCGCAGAGCCTGTGTACAGCGCTTTTCCTAAATAATCAGTGGGCGGGGAGCGGGCAGGCTGAGGCGGGGAGGAGGGAAATAGCGGAGGATAAAGCATGCTGGAACCAGATGAAACGCTCTGAAAGCGGCCGTGGCTCTCAGGCAATGCAGGAGACACGCCTTAGGAGGGGTCCTGTTGCTGCTGCTTTGAAAGCCCCCGCGCGCAGCTAGCTTACATGCAGCAGTGGTGCTAGTCTTGCTGCAGTCCCCTGGGGCCGGGCGGAGGCGTGTTAAGAGAGCGGCGCACGCCAGCAAAAGCGGGGCGGAGACAGGCCCCCGTGAGCTAGCGGGGGACCCAGGGATATCAGTTTGCATGAGCAGAGGGTCCCTCGAGAGGCGGGTTGAGTGAGCTGCAGTGGGAGCGCTCGGGCAACCCTGCCGCCGGCTCGGCGGAGACGTTCTCCAGCTGCAAAGCCAAAGTCATGCAGCGCTGGAGGGGGAGGGGTCAAATGGGGTCCAGACAGGTCCCTGAACCCAGAACTGAGAGACCCGCCCCACCACCGCCACCCTGGCTATTAGCAGCATTGCCGGCTTGGGGGAAAGAAACTACCAGGAAGAATCTGGGCCAGCCCTGGTGCAGGAGCAGCTCAAGCAGGGAGGTGACACTGATGTTTTATGTATGCAGTGCAGTTGTAGCCCTGGCAGTCCCCAGGATATTAGAGAGAGTAGCTGGGTGAGGTAATATTAGTCCAAGAAAAGCTATTACCTCACCTTGTCTCACTGGTGTTTTATATCAAACAGATTGCAGGGCTCTCTGCAGTTTTCACAGGAACTCTCTCCCCGGTGCTGATTGGCTGTTTGCGCTCATCCCCTCCCTGTGTAGTTCTTTCCATCCAGCCATTTTCAAACTTCCTTGCACCGCTACCCCCTTCTGACAACAAAAATGACTGCATGACCCCAGGAGGGGAGACCCACTGCTGCAGGCAGCACCTGGACGCCCAAGGGCTTGCCTTCAGCTGGTGGAAGGGGGCATGCGTAACCTGACCCCTGCTACCCAGATCTGAAGCCCTTGGGATTTGGCTTCAGCTCTGGGCAGTGAGGCTCAGGCTTCTGTTTCAGAGCTGGGTCCCAGAAAGTCTAATGCCACCCCTGGTGACCCCATTAAATAGGGTGACCAGACATCCCGATATTTAGGTGTTTGTCCAGTGTCCCGACCGATCTTTGGATATTGTCCGCCGGCAGCACTCAGCTTTTTTTTATTTCCCTCCGCCGGCTGACCCCTCTCCCCCAACGTGTCCCAATATTTTCTTCCTCTCATCTGGTCACCCTAACATTAAAACAGGGTCCCAACTCACAGTTTGAGAGCCGATAGCTAATTCCCTTCCAGTAGAACCCCACTGAAAGACAGGGGCATGGACAATTTTTTATTGGGCAGGAGGGGTGAGCATTAAAAAGTAATAAAATAAGAGCTGTTGCATATTGCTTTAATGAGTAGGTTTGTACCATGACTAAACTTGTCCACTTTAATAAAGTGAGATAAATGAGCTTCTGTTCCAAACTCCGTGTTTCCTTTATTTATTAATGCAAACCATAGACATCCCCAACCTCTAGTTGTCTACACCAATAAGGATTGAAGGACACCCCCCAAAAAAAGTAGGAATTAACATGACATTTGCTGTCATCACATAGTTCACGCTGGTTATGGGTTCATTCCTATTCCCTCTCCTTTGTCTGTCTTGTCTACTTCTATTGTACATTCTTTGGGGCAGAGGCTGCCTCTTAGTTTATTTTTGTACAATGCCTAGCACAATGGGTCCTCTGTTCTTGGTTGATTGCTAAGCACTAGCACCGAAGTGGGCAAACTTTTTGGCCCGAGGGCCACATTGGGGTTGCAAAACTGTATGGAGGGCTAGGTAGGGAAAGCTGTGCCTCCCCAAACAGCCTGGCCCCCGCCCCCATCTGCCCCCTCCCACTTTCTGCCCCCTGACTGCCCCCCTCAGAACCCTCGATCCATCCAACCCCTCCTGCTCCTTGTTCTCTGACCGCCCCCTCCCAGGACCCCAACCCCTATCCAACACCCCCTGCTCCCTGTCCCGACTGCCCCGATGCCTATCCACACCCCTGCCCCCCGACAGCCTTCCCCATCCCCTGACCGCCCCTTCCTGGAACCCCCCTGCTCCCAACCACCCCCCTGGGACCCCACCTGCTATCCAATCCCCTCTGCTGCTGTCAAGGCTGGATCCCCACTTTGAACTTTAGGGTTCAAATGTAGGG